TCCACAGAGTAACTGTTCTGTTAAAATTTAGTTCCTACAGAGTTTGCCAGGTTAGTGACATCAACTCATTGAAAGATACTCTTGACTGTGGCTGATCACTTTACTTAAGTAGAGGTCGACCGATTCATCGGTTTTGCTGATTAACCGCATTGATAGTTGATTGGCGGAATTATCGGTTATCTGCAAAAATCCATGCCGATAGTTTTCCGTGTTGCGTCCATTGCTGGAGTGGCTGAGAAGGGTCCGCTGCCATTATACAGTACGAGAGCGACCTCTAGAGGCAGAAATCACTGACCGCACGTGTTTGTTTTGACACGTGACACTGCGTGCTGCACAGAGCGGTAAACTTCAAACTCCATTTAAATGCAGCTGACAGAAAATCCTGCCGCGGAACAAAGCACCATTCACATAGTTTTCAATTAAATTACATTATATTTGTCCCAAATCATTGTTAATGTACATAATGACTTCACCCTAGGCTATAAATTATGTTTTGTGCTCTTTCTGTGGCTCTAATACAGTCTGTATGCTTCATATAGAGAGCTGTAATACAGATCGCACTTTCTCTTTCCCTTTGCTCTGTTTTTTTAAACACCGAAACTCATTTATGCCACATTGTTCATTCTTGAAGCAAACTTATTTCCGTTTGGTGATTAAATAATTTTAGACCGCCGCTTTAATTGAACGTGACGCGTCCGGTGATACCTGTGAGGCAGCGCTGCGCTTTTATTTTGATTAGATAATCATGCAGTGTTCTAAAATAGAAGCAAATAGAGTGTGAAAGTACACATACAATATCAATAACCTATGTATGTAATTTTAATGCTATGGCCTTGTGTAGATATTTAAAGATGGCCATCTTTAAGCATGACTGTTGAAATTAAATGGTAATACATAACAGTAAGAGTCCATTTGTAATATTAATGAAAGCTGTAGAAGTATTGTTCCTAGTGTGTTCATTTCAACTTTTACTATTACTAATAGGCTAAATTTTTAAATTTTAAAGTTTCTTCTTTTAACATTAGTAAACTATGAAATAACTTTAATGATAAATATAATAATTAATATTAATGTTTATTCATTTACAAAGCATGGTTCAGTACTGCTATACTGCTTTTAAAAAAATAGTAAAGCACTGTTTTAGTTTTCGTTTAGTATCCATTTTAAAAACTATCGGTTGATTAATCGTATCGGCCAGTGTGGTCCAACCTATCGGTATCGGTAAAATCCACTATCGGTCGACCTCTACTTAACAGTCAGGTGCTTTCTTCTCTGAGCAGGTGTGGACTTTAAACCAAAAGTCAAAACTGAGACTAAGTAAAACATAAGAAAGAAAACGGGTATCATATCATCACCCAAGTATTTTGAGCCTTTGCTTATCTTGTTCGCACTGCTCTGCAAGACCACCATTTCAGAATCCTGGCTATAAGACAGCAGCCAGCTGTTCCAATTCGTAGGGTTTGCATCTGGCATCTGTGGGTTTGCTGCACTGTCTGGCCTTGACAGTGAGGAGTGATTGGCTTCCCTGAGGACCCACGACTGACCCATCCTCTCCTCTCCGACTCATTATGAATATATCGAACAAATGCAGAATATAGCTACATCTGTCAAGGTGGCGGGTTGAATTAGCAATCATCGTGAATAACACATGAGATGAAGCACAAAGGGCTGATTTGAGAAGCGTGATGCATATATTAATCTCTTAAAAATAAAAGAGTGCATACAATTTTTTCCCGCCCCCTGCTCTGATAGCAGTTGGATCCCCCGCATTCCTCTGGCCGAGAAGAAGCACTATTATGTATCCCCTTGGTGACAGAGGTATTCCACCAACTTCCTAATAAGGACATTTTGGAACGTAAAAGGTGAGTGTAATATATTAATCTCTTAAAAATAAAAGAGTGCATAAAATTTTTTTCCGCCCCCTGCTCTGATAGCAGTTGGATCCCCCGCATTCCTCTGGCCGAGAAGAAGCACTATTATGTATCCCCTTGGTGACAGAGGTATTCCACCAACTTCCTAATAAGGACATTTTGGAACGTAAAAGGTGAGTGTATTAATAGAGAAGATTATTGCTTAGGAATATTTGCATTGCAGCGCGTGTGCGTTTCCATGGCACTGGTTGAGTTAATGCACAACTGGCCCAAAGCTCCTGTGCTCGATGCAGCAGACACCCAACACTGCAGCTGCTGCTCCCAGATAATGTTGTAGCCTGATATCACATATTCAATCAGCAGAACCTAAGTGAGCTGAAATGAAATGACTTTCAGGGCCAGTCTCAGCTCTTCATACTCCTTTAGCCTTGATGCTGCAATCGCTGAGGGATGATGAACATCCAGATGTGTTTATTTGGATGTGTGACACAACCAACCTGTCCTTTCTCACACTTTGCTTTTGGTCTCTGTTCACTCGAGTTTTTCATGAGTTCTCTTGTGATTCCTGCATTTCATTTCTGCATTATTTGCCATAAATAGACAGATGGTTCACCAAAAATGTTGAATCTATTTTTTTTTTTTAATTTACGATTTTAATTTACATTATTTAGTTATTGCTATAACACAAAAAATAATCAAACATCTCCTTTCTGCATATTGTAGTTTAAGACACATGTAGTGACATTTATTTAATAAAGTAAAAGATGGCGTGATGGGCCATATTCAAATCTGAGCCCCAGTGGAGGGGAAAATCATTCAGTAGTGACTTTGGTCTGATTTGTACAAAAAGTGATTGTATTGATTGTAGTGATTGTATTTTTCAGTGAAAGTTTCTTCTCTGTGATGCTTCCTTTAGTGTGGTGCCAAGTCCAGGTGGTTCGTTTTTGCGCATGCAGACTGTAATCATTATTGATTAATTGCCCTTCTCCACTCTTGAGTAACCAAAGTTTTTTTTCTTTTTTCCATTTTCTGTGACGTTAGGCACAAAAGCACATTTGATGAAAGTTGACTGTATTCGTTTCTCATTAGATGTCACTGGTGTTTTCATAAAGGCAGAAAAGTAGAAGCGTATTAAAGCTTGCTGTTGGACTTGATCCTTCATGTTTTTTTGGCTTATGGACAGCTGTACACAAGAGTTTTTTAACTTTAAAAAAAAAAATTCAGCTATGATTGGTGCTTTCTAATCACTAAATAAAGCAAAATTTTTACTAACCATTTAAGTAAAGATACAGCATAAAGAGTAAAAATAGAGTTTTGTTATTTAGAGCACCGATTACAGACAGAATTAAGCAAAATAAAGGCATAAGAAAAGCAAAGTTATGTTAACACAGTCCATATTAGGGTGAAGCATCTGGTGCGGCTGTGTTTTGGACCCTGAGGTCATGGCAGAGATATGTCCGCTGAAGTTCAGTCCAGCTCAAGCAAAGATATTATGGGAATGCATCTCGATGCCCCTGATACCAGTGTTTAGAAGGAGTCAAGATGCCCTGTTCCTGACCCCACTTGTGGAAGAGAGGGAGGAGGACTTTTTTAACCCAGATAAATTTAACTGCATTGACACTGAACAGCTTCAGGTTGTTTGGCTAGTCTTTATCATACGTACTATTTTAAGTTTGCAGACTTCCTGGATCTGCTTTCTCTTATTGGAACCACAAACTCATCTTGGACATAACAATGTGAAAATCAAATAAGGCGTGTTCGTGTCTGTGTCTATGTGTTCCCAATTAATTCCATGGAAGCAAAAATACAACCAGATATTCAGGACTGGGGCAACTAAATGTAATAATTTAAGAAAAACTGTGGGGGAAAAACATTGATGAAAATTGGGCCCCCTCAATGTCTACTGTGGTTCTGGGGCCTGCTTTCGTACACCCCAAAAATGAAAATTTGCTGAAAATGAACTCACCCTCAGACCATCCAAGATGTAGATGAGTTTTTTTTTTTCATCGGAACAGATTTGGAGAAATTTAGCATTACATCACTTGCTCACCAATGGATCCTCTGTAGTGAATGGGTGCCGTCAGAATGAGAGTCCAAACAGCTGATAAAAACATCACAATAATCCACATGACTCCAGTCCATCAATGTCTTGTCGAGTGAAAACTTGTTTGTTTCTAACAGTTTTTGACTCTTTTCGCTTGTAAATTGTGCTTGATCTGAGCATATTTCTCTCCTGATTCAGAGACGAGTTTTTCACTGGAGAAAACAATATTGTGGACAGAGGACATGGATTTGTTTCTTACAGACATGCAGCTTTTCACTTCACAAGACATTAATTGATTAATTTATTACTTGTGGATTATTGTAATGTTTTTTTCAGCTGTTTGGACTCTCATTCTGACGGCACCCATTCACTACAGAGGATCCATTGGTGAGCAAGTGATGTAATGCTAAATTTCTCCAAATCTTTTCCAATAAAGAAACAAACTCATCTACGTCTTGGATGGCCTGCGAGTGATACAATTTTAGCAAATTTTCATTTTTGGGCACACTCCTTTAACCCCAATGATTCACTCACTTGTTTAAAACAATTGCATAATAGCTGTTTCACTAAATATGAGTTAAAGCTATATAAAACATCGGCTTACATTCTGAAATGTATCATAAAAATAGTTTGGCAGAAATGTATTACAGTGTGAAACTCCCAGAATGCCAGGGTTGCACAACAGACTCCATTGAGTAAATCATAGATAAACTATTCCAAAAGATTGTCAGCGTAATCTAATGAAACTTTATTGGAGTGCCCTGAGATTGAACATACTGAAAATAAAACATAAATCATGAATTTTACAACAAGCGGAAATCACATGTAGAGGGATAGTTCACCCATGAATGAAAACTGATTCACTCACCCTTATGTCACTTTAAACTTGTATGACTTTTTTGTGAAACACAAAAGAAGATATTTTGGGAGATATCTCAGTATATTTTTTTTTGACCATACAGTGAAATTTAGTAGGGTCCAGTGTTATCTAGATTTAGTAGATTTTGGAATTTTATGTGAACTGTTGTTTTAAGGGAACAACACGTATATCATCAATGTCAATGTTTGGGTCTCAAAAGGTGAAGTTTCATATTCTTTAATGGTGTGTTGTTCTTTCTTTTACAGCTTGTGTCCAATGTCCTGATCTTCTCCTGCACTAATATAGTTGGCGTGTGCACACACTACCCAGCAGAAGGCTCACAGAGGCAAGCCTTCCAGGAGACCAGAGAATGTATTCAAGCCCGTCTGCACTCTCAGAGAGAAAACCAGCAACAGGTGAGAGTCCACCAGATATCATAAGAGCAGATTTTAAATTCTAGTGTCATTCTTTGAGATTTAATGTTCAGTATGAAGATACTCCAGGCACTGATATCGTTTAAAAGTCAAGAGTCAGTTAGATTATTATTGATCAAATAAATGCAGCCTTGGTGAGCATAATAGAAGTCTTTGAAAAACATTTTAAGAATCTTAAATTTGTAAGTAGTACCATAATCAGGTACCCAAAGTACCATGATTAATACTATGGTATTTATTTAAGCACCTGGTAAAGCCATATAAAAATTTTTAGCATGCAACATTCTGTTCAAATGTTTCTTTCTTTCTTTTAGACTCAAATATGTGTGAGGAAATAGCCTCAGATTGCTTGGAATAGAGATGAATGAAAAGTCCTTCAGCTGGAGTCCATTCACATGTCTATTGATTTTCAGTATAGATTTGAAGCTGTGAGAAAACTAGTGCACAGAGACGTAGACGTAGTGCTGATTAATTTGTGAGATTAGAACCACATCCTAGAACAGTACGGAGATTCATAGTGGCACCAAAGGAAAAAATAATGTCAGTTTCTGCAAACAGAAGCCCACTGAGGCCATTCATCATTTTTTTCTGCAGTAATATATATTTTTTTCATATCAAGTGTTTTGAAAATAACCGTATGTTCTCAGTAGTTAAAATAACTATTATCCTGTCACAGTCAGTGTAATATTTGTAATATATGGAATAATGTTTTAGAACAAATATAATTTCCTTCAGTTTTCTCTATTCCTGAGAGTAAGTAACATCTTTCGACACATGGCACTCTTCTCTTTGTTTCTGCTTGTCTTTTCCTTACTATCACTATCATCATTTGCAGGAACGCCTCCTCCTCTCTGTGCTTCCTCGACATGTCGCCATGGAGATGAAAGCCGACATAAATGCCAAACAAGAAGATATGATGTTCCACAAGATCTATATTCAAAAGCATGACAATGTGAGGTAAGAGTGACTCCTCAAATAGCCTGAAAGACAGTAGTAAGTGTTTGCATCTCAAAGCACTTTAAAAGCCTTTTCAGCCCACAGTAATCAAATGCAATTACTTTTGCATATAATTATGTTAGTACTTAGTTAGGTTACGAGATCAGTGCTTTTCGAGTAAGCTGCTCCTATACACACTTACCCTGTTGATAACTGAAAATGAAACCTTACAGGCAAATACAAAATCTGTACCCATTAGCATGTTGCTAAACTAACAACATGATACTGTTACATTATTAGATGTAACATTTTTTGCATTGCGTGAAATATTAGTAGGCTATATTTACATTTGTCAGCATTTCTCTCTGGCCATCTACCATCACAGATGTTTTTTATATATTTATAATTTTTTTATTCATATAATATTGCTTATTTTTGTAATATGTTTTATAATATATTATAATTTTACATTTGTTTTGTAATTTTTTTTTGTTTGTTTTATTTTTGGGTATGCTTTCACCGTAAATTATATATACAAGTATATATTGCCTCAGACTTCAGTGATTTCCTGATAAGAAGCTTACTAGGTTTTGGAACAGAGCTCATAAGTGTGTTATAAATCTGATAAGCGTTAGATATTGCACCCTCTTGTGGCTTAAGAGAAGAAAACACTCGCTCATCTCTTTCTCCAACTGACCATCCGTGTGTCAAGGCAGCTCTTCTGAGCGTCTACAGACACTTTCCCACTGATTGCGTACCGATTTTCACACCACCAGACTAGTTGGATACTCACAATCACAAGAGGCCCTATTAAGTATAGCCTGTTGTTTTACCTCATGTCGGTTTTTAAACACAGCTGTAATCTTATGAAGACTTGAGTTTAAAAGCATGTGGGTCTCAGGTCGATGACATAAGACAACTCGGGAATCCATGTGATGAATTATGATTCTCCACGGTTCTGAATTCTAAATCTGGAGGGTAGAAGATTAACCCAAGAAATAAAACGGTTTGACAGGGGAGTTGTTGGATTTAGCGGCAGAGTGCTAAGGCATGGCTACTGCCTGCCACACCATATTACAGCTAAAACTAGTAAAACTACTATTTTATTTTATTTTTTATTTTGAAAAGCTGCAGTGAAATGTTTTTACATGTAATGATGGCTTTTACGCAGACAATATACATTTTAGACCTGTAGCCACTCTAAACTATTTTAATTATCAAATTGTGAAAAAGGGACCAAAGTGCTATAAATGCATATTCTGGTTTAATGTCTACTTAGCATTTCCAATTTCACTGTTAAATTGGTGTTCGTACTGATAGTGTTTTGCTGTGATCAGAAGTCATTTATTTTCACTGAGAGTACCAAATTTCCGGCAGTGTGATAGTTGTTGATGGAACAAAGTTTAGCAGAGATTTATACAAACTTTATTTTTTAACTTTATGCAACTATCAATAGGAGTACAGTAGGGCTGTGCAATTAATCGCATGCGATTGTCATGCGCATCTCGTCAGTAAAGCCGGTCCCGTGATTAGTAGTAAATCGCCATCACCTGCTTTCAGATGGAACGGCATTCAATACACAGAGCCGTAGTTCACTGACAAGCTAGGCAATATCGCGAGCAGGTGATGGCGATTTACTACTAATCACGGGACCGGCTTTACTGACGAGATGCGCATGACAATCGCATGCGATTAATTGCACAGCCCTAGAGTACAGACAGTGATCCGCCACCTGGTACTGTTCAATACAGCAGCAGCACCTACTAGAAAACAACAGCACAGAGACTCTTTGACCTCCATTGTTTAAATGGCTTGATACTCTCTGCCAGCCCTTTTCTATGATCAAATAGTGGCTAGACTACAGCAACAAAGGGCAACATGAACTTGGGCTTTGTGAGCCAGTGGGCAGCACGACTCCTGGCCCTCTGGGTTGTTGTCTGCTATCGAGGTTCTGTCTCTTATCCTTTTCCAGTAAAGCCCCCACCAAACAAGCTCCATGGTCAGAGGAATTATGTAAGTGTGCAGCCAAGCGGTATCTCGCTAAGTGGAATATTGATAGGTCTGTTACTAGAGGACCCAGTGGTTTAATTGCTGAGGACAGTTATATAACAATGTCTGTGTTTGAATCTTTGCTCCTGAGTGAAACCCACACTATTCTGGAAAGAGAAGGCTGGGAGTTTTGCTCGAGGAATGAACTGATAGTTTGTCTGGTGCGGCACCGGCTAATTTAAACGGTAGTGGACATCAATTAAATTCTGATTTCATATTTTCCTCAGTGGGGACACATTCTAGGCCAGAAACAAGTTTGATGGGCATATCAGTTAGCCCTGAAAAAATAATATTATTTAATTTGATCGTTTACAAATCAGTGTCTAGACCACAATTCTACTGTGTTCTAACTGTGTGACTTAAACTAAGAAAAGCCTGTAAAAATATGGTGCAATGTACTATGCTAATATGAAGGAATTTTCCGTATTGATTTTTCATAGCTTTTTTACCCATATTTTGAATTATGCATTTCATTCTGTTGTGTTTTAGGGTTGAAGGAAATATCTGAAAATGAGCAGGAAAGGTACTGGTAATTTTCAGTGGATTTGCTCACATGCTGCACATTTGAAATGAATTTGATATACTATTAATAGTTTTATGCAACAAGGAAACACTATAGTTGTGACACTCCTTTCACCCCAATGATTCACTCACTTGTTTAAAACAATTGCATAATAGCTGTTTCACTAAATATGAGTTAAAGCTATATAAAACATCAGCTTACATGTTTACATGTTAGCAACATCATTCTGAAATGTATCATAAAAATAGTTTGGCAGAAATGTATTACAGTGTGAAACTCCCAGAACGTGTATTTTAACTTTTTTTCTAAACAATTTTTAAAACTATTTAAATGTGAATTTGAGGACGATTTTTCTTGTTGACTGGGATAAATTTAACCACAGCTATTTTCCTCTATGATTGGCATTACTGGTTTCCAGAAAGCTGACATTCTAGGCAGCTCTGGATTTAATTTAATACTTTGCCTGATGTTTACACACTAAAAACCCCAGATTACCAGCACCTAATAAAGAACCTAGAGTGTGTTCATAATACTCCAGAGGTTGTAATGTGTTTGGATTCTTTTTAAAGAGCTGTCCTGCCATTGTGCCACACTGCAGCGACATTTTTGGTCCAGACTGCAGGGAGCTGATGAATGTCACTTTAAACTTGTATGTATATAAATAGTTTTATGCAACAAGGAAACACTATAGTTGAGTAAAATATTTGACTTTTTTTTATTTATTTCAAATATTTGTTTAATTTGCAATTTTTTACAAATCACTGTCGTGGAGTGAGGCAGATTTGACAGGCTTTTATACAACAGCTTTATATCCAATATCATAATTCAGCAATTGTAGAATCTGTTTGAGCTCCAGGAGTGATGGATCAGGAGGTCAGACCTCTCAAGCAGTGACCCTTGATGGATTTAGGAGGCCATGTTATATAAGCAGGAAGTGTGACTTTGTGCAACATTCCAACCAGGGGCTTTCTTTTTTGGCTGAAGTGGTTTTCATGCTGATGACCAACTACACACTCCATTTATTAAACTTCCTGCCATTTCATTATGTAATTTTCCTGTCAGCACTTCTATTCTAACTCCCAGTATAATTTAGAATGTTCAGAAAGCAGCTACATTTGACCTTAGGGCTGCTGCCACCACAAATACATTAACATTGTTGTTTTGTCCCCATCGACACAATATATATCTCACCAGCTTCTATGAGAATAATCAGCATGCAGCATGCATAATCATTATGCTTAGTATATTTGTAAAAAGAATAGTTATTTATACACTACCGATTAAAATTTTGGGGTTAGAATTTTTTTTTTTTTTTTTAAAGAAATTAATAATTTATTTAACAAGGACAGCATGCATAATCATTATGCTTAGTATATTTGTAAAAGAATAGTTATTTATACACTACCGATTAAAATTTTGGGGTTAGAATGATTTCTTTTTTTTTTTTAAGAAATTAATAATTTATTTAACAAGGATGCATTTAATAGATCAGAAGTGACACTAAAAACATGTAGAATGTTACATGAATGTTCTAATTCAAATGAATGCTGCTCTTTTGAATTTTCTATTCATCAAAAAAATCCTGAAATCTAATAAAAATGTATCATGGTTTCTACAAAAATATTAAGCAGGACAACTGTTTTCAACAATGACAATAAGCAATGTTTAAATGAAGATTACACATTAAAATATATTGAAATAGAAAGCAGACATTTTAAATTGTAATAATATTTTACAGTAGAACTGTTTTTACTGTATTTTTGATCAAATAAATGCAGACTTGAGCATAAGAGACATTCAAAAAATTATTTTAGGGGAGGCCTTTTATTTGAGCTTTTATTTATAGCAACTCTAATAGATCCGTCAGCTATAGAGAAACCTTTGATCTATGACTAATGTAAGGGTTTCCGGATGCTATATTGTATAAGGGAGGGTTTAAATTTAGACTTTGTGGTGTTTGTGTGCTTTTAGTTATTTTTAAAGGTATAGTTCACCCAAAATGCTGTTATGCTGGTTTACATAATAAAATATAAAATAATAGTTTTCATTGAAATAATAAACAAACTGGTGTATATATGATATACTTCATTTTACCTTCCAGGAAACAAAAAGTTATAGGAGAAACCATAGCAAAATTGGCTTACAAACTCTTTTCTTATTATCCATGCAGTCAAAGTGCTTGTTTTAGTTTGATTGACTTAGTTTTGTTGTTAAGACGGCTTCTAAGAGACTCATATACAGTACAGTACAGTCATATGATGCTTTTGTTTTGGTTGTTTTTGATCAGGGCTTTTGTAATAAGATAAAAATGATTCCTGTTTTTCATCTTTGTCAGCTTCAGAAATGGTCTTGTGATGCTCTTTGTTCACTTGATTTACTATGAAAAGGTGGCATCATTAATTCATTATGGCGTATTGACATCGTAGAATAGGAAGTCGGCTAAATACAACAAGAGGATCTGTTGTCCTTTTGTGCATTGAATTGTATCATGTAACCGACAGGGGCCAGTTAAGAGACCCAAATCGATTCCAGTAATTCAAATAATCTAATTTGAATGATTAAATCTGGCAAAAAAATCTATTCTAAAATTTGTAACGCTAGAAAGTGAGAGGACTAAAATCCAATGAAATGCTCAAACAATTTGAGCAAACTTGTCTTAGGATCAATTGCATTTGTGAATAGCTTCAGATTTTATTTACTAGAATTAAAAAAATAAAGTAAATATTTAACTTGTCTGTAGTGCTGTCAAATGATTAATCACGATTAATCGCATCCAAAATAAAAGTTTTTGTTTACATAATATATGTGTGTATACTGTGTATATTTATTATGTATATATAAATACAAACACATGCATGTATATATTTAAGAAAAATGTTGTTTTTACAATAAATGTATTTTTATATAATCTAAAATATAAGATGTAAATATTTACATATACATGTAAATATTTTCATAATATATACTGTATGTGTGTTTATTTATATATACATAATAAATAAACACAGTACACATACATATATTATGTAAAAAACATTTATTTTGGATGCGATTAATCGTTTGACAGCACTACTTGTCTGTGTAACTTGTTTTGCACTACTTGTTCTAAGGACAATTGAAGACAACCTAAAATCTGCATAAAAATATTAATAATATTCATTTTTTTAATGTTTATTATTTAGTATATTTAATAAGTATGTATTTATAATATTATTTTATTTTTAGGGCAACAAATAATGTTTAAATCAGCTGGTTTAGGATGGTTTAGCTGCTATTTTTTAGCTGAAATGGCACTCTGAATTTGAAATACTGAAAAATTGAAGCATTTAATTGAGGTTTGAAGGGTATTTTTGCAAATATGCAGATGGTCTGCAATGTTACAGTTCACACAAAGATTAATTGATTGAAAGCCATTAAGCAGTCAGGCTTTTTTCCAGGGATCCAAGCAGCATGGCAAACATCACATGAGATGAGTGTGTTGATCGAGTACAGCCTGCCTTCTGGGCCCCTTTTAAACATTTCTGCAAATCGTCTTTGATATTGAGTCTGAACTGAGAGGTCACGCTCACCCGGATCCTGGGCTTCAGTCAAACCTGACTGTCTTTCTACTGTCACGTTAGCTTGAGTGTCAGACCAGCCCTGAGCTGTTAGAAATAAAGCTAGATCAATGTCAGCATTGGTAAAAGCTCTGCGGATGAATATTGAATAGGAAAAGTCATTACAGCCCACAAAGTTTTGTTTTGTATTTCATTCAAGGTGCACAAAGTAGAACCATATCTGTTACCGGCTCCCACAGGGGAATATCATGCTTTATTCACTTTCTCGTCTCTGTAGGCCCAAAATTCTCTTAATGTGAATGTCATCTATTGCTAAAGAGAGCACACACTCCCATTCGATCCTGTCTGCTGTGCCATTGGCATGGTAATGGAGCTGTGATGCTGGGATCACATTAGTTAGCTCATATTGTATCTATGTAAAGTCTGCTTCACAAATGGCCAATTGAAATGAATAGCTGTGGGCGAGGGTTTCAATTGTCAGCCAGGTAACCGTGACAACCGTGTAATATAGGTGAATGTGCACTACACTGATGTGTGGGGATGAGAGTCTGGGATGATTAACAAGAATGACCATATACACACTATATAGGTCTATCTGTCTATCTATCGGTCTATCTGTATCTGTATCTGTATCTATCTATCTATCTATCTGTCTATCTGTCTGTCTGTCTATATCAAATTATTTATTGGGTTTGATAATATTCTGTGATAAATGGCATTTGAAATATTTTTGGAATATAATGGGCAAGTTTGTTATTAAGACTACTTGTATTATTAGTATTGTATCCTAACTACAATTAATTTAGTATTTCATAATAATATTTTTTAATGTTTATTGCATTATTTGACTAAATTAGATTTTGAGATTTATACAAGAAATATTTAAATATTTTATTTTATTTTTACTTTTAAGATTTATCATCTTTTTAAGTAATAATTAGTCATATTAAGAAGGATTTAAAGGACATGGACAAGAGTAAAACAATAAGATCTGTACATAAAATACATTTGAAAAGTAACAAAAATAAATGATGGTGATAGCATGGTAAAAAAAAATTACAAATGTTTCAAGACAAATCTGTTGAGACCTTCGTATAACAATAAGAAAAACATTGAAATCTGTTATTAAAAATTGAAGTGCCCATAACTGATGAAACCTCCAACTGATATTTCTCTCTCTCTCTCTGCAGTATCCTCTTTGCCGACATCGAGGGCTTCACCAGTCTGGCTTCACAGTGCACGGCCCAGGAGTTAGTGATGACCCTCAACGAGCTCTTCGCACGATTCGACAAACTGGCCGCCGTAAGTGTCCGCACAACAGCCCACGCCCTCAGCCGAACAGCTTTTTTTGTCGAAACACGATGGCAAACTGGGATGTAATCATGTTAATTCCGCTTGCATCCCACTCACACAGCTGACTGGGATAGACAAGCCCTCCCTCCTGTCAGATGAGTGTTTGCGATCACGCTTCCCGCTGTTTTCCAGCTCAACTATCTCCTCATTATCTCCACCAGTGGTGGTGGTGACTCATCGCAGCCGAGTTGCCATGCATTCGTGCACGTACTCTGCTGCTGCAGAGAGATGCTGCTCGAAGGGGAAACCATCTGTTGTCTGTTCAGATGTTTGCACACTTCACAAAACCTTCGAGCAAAAAGACAAAAAAGTATGCACGCACACTTTGATCTGATGATCAACAATAGAGGTTGTTGTATGGGCTACGGGTTAAATGAAGGCATGTGTTGGGGTGACATTCAGGTGACTGTCATAAGACCCGGTCCTGCTGCCGTGGGTCCTGTGCCCAGCCTGAGGCTTCCTCTGCTCTCCACTGGTTTCTTCTCTCCTGTTTTGATGACTTACAAACTAAGATACCTATAGTACTCCAGCTTAAAAGAAAACATGCAAAAACACCATAAAAGTGTCATATATACTATATTAGGCTATAGTGGAAGTCTTCTGAAGTCATACGATAATTAAATAATGACACTCTTCATTTTTGGTTTGAACTATTCTTTTACAAACTAAGATGAACAACGCTTAAGGTAGTTCGATAAAAAAAAAAAAGGTCCACTTTATATTAGGTGGCCCTAACTACTACAGGTGCATCTCAATAAATTAGAATGTCGTGGAAAAGTTCATTTATTTCAGTAATTCAACTCAAATTGTGAAACTCGTGTATTAAATAAATTCAATGCACACAGACTGAAGTAGTTTAAGTCTTTGGTTATTTAAATTAATCATTTGATAAAATGCATTTTTGTGTACATGCATGGTTTTACATTGTACTTATATTTTTTTTAAATACCTGCATGTAATTACATCTGTAATAAATTTTTTATTACATATATAATAACACTGTTGACCTATCCCTTACACCTTAACCCACCTTTAGACCATAGCACCAAACCGGTCCCTAACCTTACCCATATCCCACCACAATAGCAGCAGAATTTTGCAATACAATATGAACCCAATAAGTACATTTTACTTATTTTTTGATGTAAGTGCATAGTAGTTATAGCCACCTAATATAAAGTGGGTCCAAAAATGACATTTATGTCATTATTTTTCACCCTTATGTCATTTAAAACCTGTAAGACTTTCTTTTTTCCTTTCAAATTTTGGAGAATTATTTGGTTGTCCTTTTCCATTCAGTTACAATAAATGCTGACTGGAGGTTTCAAGATTCAAAAAGGATGCAAAACACCATAAAAACGTCATATATGCTATTTTACACTATACTGTATATTGCAAGTCTTCTAAAGTCATATTTTATTATTAACAAATAATGACAGAACTGTGAACTATTCTACAGTATTATCTGTTATCTATTATATCTATTATATTGCCTTTTTCTAAATCCATTTCCAAGAGCTTTTTGTTTAGACTACTCATGTTTTCCAAGCAAAATATCAGGACAAATTGGGCTGGATTTTTGAATTCATGAAAGTGGGATGCCAAACCTACTACATAAAAAAATACACTTGTAGACAGATTAAAATCTGACATTTCTAAGCCATTTGGGAACAGTTAAGGGTATTTAGCGCTTGGCTAAGCTCTGCAGTGGAGCCCCCCCCCATGTGTGTGTGTGTGTGTGTGTGTGAACAAAATGTGTGTTCAGTTCAGTGTTGTAAGAATAATTTTAATTAAGCATATTTTTTTACTATTTAATTAAAATATTTTGAATTAAACTTAAGTTTTTTAAAACAATAAGACTAAATCTTGTTAACAATTTTAGCTTTTTTTACTATTTGTTCTTAATTGTATCATTTTATATTTGTATATCCCTATGCATTTTTTTTCTTTTATGTGGTGTTTATTTATAGAAAATTGTCTTACATTATATTTTGACCGCTGTTGCCTCAATAAAGAATGAACCTCTTAGAAAAATAATAAAACAGTTCATATTATATTTAGTTTGAACAATGTCCATTGATCAATATTTTTTGAAGGTTAAGCACATCTTTTGACTGACCAACTCTTGAAAAAAGAAAAAGAAAAAAAACAAAACAAAACAGGAGTTTCAGGCCCTGTTTTGTACCCTGTTCGTGGAACATGCTGTACAGCAGCACTGGACTGAATGAAAGTTCACAGAAGGGTTGAAACACTTAATCTTATTTACCTGCTTTTGTTAATCATGGCTAAATTGTTATAAGCATTACGTTCTTACTAGAAACTTTGAATTGCTCTCTATGAGTTTGTCCTGCTGTTCTAATTGGTCAGGTCAGTCATCCCTTAATTGAGTTTGTTTCCAGGTTATTTGTCTCGCATGCGTGTGGACGTGTCAGTATGTTCAGTGTCTCTGAGCAGTTGTTTGTTAAGGCAAGAATGGTGGTGACTGGGTTTCTGCTCCAATGAGCACGTGTCTGTGTTTCTCTGAGCTGCAGCCAACCGGCCCAGCGCCCCATCACAGGAAGAGACCATTTTTCCGCAGACTTGCCTGTCGTCCTCAATGTACAAAACAGTTTGATGGCTTGTTTGCCGTTCACCTGAACTCCCTGTGTCTCTTCACTTTTAAAATCTGAAAATGTGTTTTTTTTTCATTAACGCAAGACAAGTTCAGACAAGTCTCTTAAGTCTCTCTCCGGTTATTTTTCTTCACAATGTTCAGAATAGCATACTAGTATACTGCTTTCTGTAGTATGTACACTGTGCAAAGTGTTCCTGACTGATTTACTACAACTATTATCAAAATGTCTAAATATGGTTAATCATATAGTAAATTGTAATAATTTTGCAATTTTCTAAAAATAAACATCAACATGAAATAGAGAAAATAATACATATATATATTATTATATAGTTATATAATTTGTAATTTATTATATTATAATATGTATTATATTATTTTAAAATAATATCAGCATTAACTATATTATACTTATTTTACTTTAGCAAACTGCCAAGACAACATTTCTCATTTTTGATTAATTTTAGTTATAGACATAACAAATAAAATGACAAATACACAACAAAGTTACTAAGTGAAAATAAATTAAATATGAAATATTAATAATATGAAAATTACTAATGAAAATAGAAAAATCTAATCAAATTCAAATTATTAACAAAATCTATATTAGTATGTCAATAACAATAAATTAACGCTGACTTGATCTTTCATTTCATCACACTGGAAATAGAAGTAATCATCCCAACGTTTACTTTTTATTCGTTTTTTTAGTAAATGAAGGCCACTTGCTGACAATAACTCAAACATTTATTGCTTCATTATGTGTTCTGTTTCACTCACTATAAAAAAAATTGTAACCAGCACATACTCAATATTGAATACACTAGTGTTTCATTCCAAATATGGCGTTGCCATTCCAGGGCAACTTCCTGTCTACATTTATGCCTCATGAAAGTTGTTTTTATCATCTCAGGCGTATTCATATCACCAAGGCCACCCTGAACTATCTGAATGGTGATTATGATGTAGAACCTGGATTTGGTGGAGAAAGAAACGTCTATCTCAAGAAGCACAACATTGAAACCTACCTCATAGTGGGCTGCAGTCAGAAGCGGGTGAGACCTTTTTTCTCCTCATCAACGAATGGTATCAGTTCAATTTTATAAATTCAGGTGAGATAAAACATTTTAGAGTCTCCTTTCTCTTGTGTATTTCGAATTACTTATTAAACTTTGTAACCTGAGACAGCTGGGGTCGACAAGCTATGATTCTCCATTAATATTCACATCTTTTCAAGCAGAAACACCTAGCGCTCAGGAATATCATGACTCGCATGATGCTGGGCAGCAGAGGAATGCCAATAAGCTATGTGGATAAATTCAGGGAAATGTGATGTCAGAAGACAAGCTAGTTAATGACTATGACATTAAAAAGCATGGACCGTAATACTGCTCCTGTTTCGTATTTCCTTTCACAGAAAGAAGAAAAGGCAATGATTGCTAAGATGAACCGTACCAACTCAGTCACGCATAATAGCACTCACTGGACAGACCGGCCCTTCTACAATCACCTGGGTGGCAATCAGGTTTCCAAGGAGATGAAGAGGATGGTGAGGAAGCTGCACTTTTGATTAGCCACCCTTGTAGGATGAGAACATTATCTGAGTGCTGAAAACCAGTTGGTTTGCATTTAGTCTAATTGCCATGTCTAAAACCCATTACCACCTCTGTTGGAGGATAAGACCTTTGACGGGAGGGGCTTTTTGTACCATGTGTTAACTAAGCCAAAACAATCCCAAGGACATTGCTTTAGGGCCACATGTAAAGGGCCTCATGCCCTTTGTGTAGTCCCTGTTCTTTCATTCAGTTCACAGCTCTTCCCCGGCTCTGGAACCCAAAGGGAAAGGCCCTCTAATTAAATAAAGCTGGATTGCCTCACATACTGCCCTGAGGGATTTAATCAGGCAAAGTGGAACCAGCAATTAGTTCCTGTGAGCTCCAAAAAAAATGCAGGCTTAAAATGAGCATAAGAGACTTCTTTACAGACCTCAAACTTTTTGAATGACAAGACTGAGAGAGAGAGCAGTATGTTTTGTACCTTTTGAAAGCTGTTTTTTGAAAATAAATGGTGTAGTTGCACAATTCACCAGCAGGGGGTTGGTAAATATTGTATTTTGTGGTTGGAATATGTGTTTGTCCAACCAACAGCAGATAGTGGGAACCTGTTTGTAATTATTTGTGCAGTTCCGTTTGATAGTGGCACAGATAAATCCCGCTCGATATATCCTGCTGGAGCTCAGACTGGCTTGTAATTGCCAGATATCTGTCCACGCCTACACAAACACCGAGCATTGAGGAAGGCAGATAAACATGCAGTGTTTCATAATAACAACAGCACCTGTTTTTGTCTGTTGTATTGTCTAGAGGCTTGCGTTGGCCCAGAAGGTGTTGCTCAGTCGAAGGAGAGTAACGCATCATCATACTGACTGGGTCATAGTCTCTGTCGAGTGAATACATGCAGGCCTGTGTGTGGGAGCGCATCTGAGTCTCCCGAGACTATACATTTAGTGACTATTATTATGCATCTAGCAACTTGTCTCATGGATGCTTTCTACTCCCATAATTTAATGTTTAGTGGTTAGAAATTACCATTAAAATGGTCATTTGATATTTAATGGGAACATTCAGTCTGTTCCTCGACCCGTATATCTGCTATTTTTGATACATATTAAGTATGTAGTCATTTAGCTGTTGCTCTTATCCAAAGCACTTATTGTAGAGAATGGGGTTCTCATATTACCGGTTTTGAGTCAGTACCCATGCAAGTAATTCTAAAAAGTAATAAAAAACTACATTTCTATACCAATACTACAAAAACTAAAATGTTTGTGGTATGTTCTGGACACACTGGAATTTGCGATTTTGTGGTCTTTACACCTAAAAAGGGCTTTTACTTAAATGTTTGAAGTCAGTTTTGGAGATCGATATAAACTGTGCTCAGTATTAATATTAATTTTAATATTTATAATATATATTTACAATAATACAAGTTATTTTACCCAACATTTGTATGTGCTATGTATGAAACTTGTGCTGCCTGTGTAAACCGATCAGATGTCTTTTTTTGTAGGCAGTATATATTTTTTGTGTAAAATCAAAACCCTTTGAGGAAAAGACAAAACACTAACCGCTAAAGCACATATGAAACATGAGCCTATTTGGTTTCCTCTCCATGTTTCCCATGTCCTCCAACCATGATAAATCAATGCCTCATCAACATTTACTTCTGTTCTCAGTGGGGTCTGAATTTAAATTCCTCCAAAAAAGCTTGTGGTCATAAATCAAGCCACCTGAATCAGCTCTCAGCTTGTTTATACTCAATGTCAGTCATCATGTATTCAGTTATATATCAGTACAGTAATAATAAATTCTCAGTCTCACAGCAGTTCTCTGTTTTCAACGTTGCAAAGTCTTTCCATGAATGATTGTCTTTATTCTTGTATATTTCTTGTATTCCCCAACCCCTCCTTTCTCTCTGTGCTTATCTTTTGTTACTGCATTTGTCACTGTTCTGTTATTTGCAGTTTGACAGTATATGAAATTAATAGAGATTTATGCTTGTTTTGGAATAGGGTGTTGGGTAAATCATTGTGGGGTTTTTTATTACTCCAACAAGAAAAGAAGTTTGTGGTGTGAACGTTTTCCAGTTTTTCCAGGGAATATAGCTTTTGAATTTTCTATCTCTGTAATCGAGAAGTTTTATTACTTTAGTTGAGGTCCTCCAGAAGGGGTCACTGCTGTGCTGATTGTACAAATGCAGACGTTCTCATCCGTTCTGCATTGATGTATAATGCATTTTCTCTTCCAATTTTGTTGCAGGGATTTGAGGATCCCAAAGACAAGTGAGTATATGGAACACATCTTCATGCCTCCACCCTGCATGCCAATTCTTTTATTAATAGTCAATTACAGAATTTATCTCATATACACGACCATTCAAATGTATGGGGTCAGCAAGATTTTGAAAAGAAGTTTCTAATGCTTACCATTTATTTGCTAAAAAAATACAGTAAAACAGTAATATTGTGATATTGTGATTGTCATTACTGTAGTCTTCAGTGTCATATATTAGAAATCATATTAATATGCTTATTTGCTGCTCAAAAAAACATTTCTTATTATTATTATTATTATCGGTGCTAAAAACAATTGTGGTGTTTAATATTTTTGTGGAAACCCTGACCATTTTCTGGATTCTTTGACGAATAGTTCAAATGCACTTGAACATGCACTTGAACGTTTTTTAATAAATGCCTTTACCCTCATTTTTGATTAATTGAATGCATACTAATTTCTTTCAAAATTAAAGTATTACTGACCTCAAACTTTTGAAAGGTGCATATATAGCTTTGCATTATGTAACATTAAAATACTTGAAACTAATATTCTGAAACATATAATGCAGACTTTTAAATGTCGTTGAATGCGGTTCATTCAAAGCAGTTTTTTGGTTATAAAATAACAAATACAGACTCTGATTGCATCAGCTGAATTATGTATCAATCAAGCAAGTACTTCAGCAACAAAATTCTGCTGGTTTTGTTCAGTGTCATATAAGTAGGGCTGCTGAATATGGGGGGGGGGACTGCAAAATGGATAAAATAGCTATAAAAAGGAGTTAAGTCTACTACAGTTGTTTGTAATTAAAACATATTTAAAGGGGTCATATGATGCAATTTCAATTTTTCCTTTCTCTTTGGAGTGTTACAAGCTCTTGGTGCATAAAGAAGATCTGTAAAGTTGCAAAGACTAAAGTCTCAAATCCAAAGAGATATTCTTTATAAAGTTAAGAGTCAACCACCCCTACCTAAAACATAGAGGAGAAACAATAATGTACAGTATGTGGAAAATAATGTGTTTTTTGAACCTTAAACCGCATAAACACATTTCATTACACCAAATACACAAAATAATGTTCTTTTTAGCAGCATCATATGACCCCTTTAATCATTCTAACTCTTAAGTCACTAAAATATATTCGAATGTGATTGAACTGCCAACTACCAATGAACTAATCAACACATGCATGTAGTGTGAGCATATCCATCACTTTTCCAGAGGTGTTGAAAAGTATCAGAACCTAGAATCCTGGGTCTCTTGATATTTATGCATGTATCACTGTGCTTGTATTAACTAGTCAGCATTTATCTAAATGTGTGAATACAGATATGCAAGCCAGTTTGCTTCTTTAGGCAATTCATCATCAAACCTTATACTGAGAGACTGCGAACCTATTATATGTCCATTTTGACACTTCTCTGTCAAATGAACACTTTCAGTATTTGAATTCAAATGCAGAACCTAGTTTTGCTGATGTGATTTAGTTACTGAATTGCATGAACATGATTGCAAGGCCTTGAGCTCTTTAGCAGATGATTTGTGCTTTTTAATGTAAATAACAGTTTTAATGACAATCATCCAAGGCTAACCATGATGATTCGGAGCTGCCCTTAACTCTGTCATGTTTTTTGGGGTGTGGTGCTGCTGCTTTTTGGTGGTCTAGCTTTATAGTATTAAATTATAGTAGTAAGTTAAAGGATAACTAAGAAGGGAGAAAAAAAGTAGAAAAACCGTGTCTCTTGCTATCTAGACATTTCATTTTCAGAAACACACAAGAAAACCTGAACCCTGAGGATGAGGTGGACGAGTTTCTGGGCCGTGCCATTGACGCTCGAAGCATCGACCGATTACGGTCCGAACATGTCAAGAAATTTCTGCTGACGTTCCGAGAACCTGACCTGGAGAAGAAGGTATGACTTTCATGACTAGCTTCAATTAAAAGATAAACTTGATCTAGCTAATGCTAATCCACACAATGTTTTTTTTTTTCTTCCGTGAACCACAACAAAGGAGAAATTTAGCAAAATGTTCACACTGTTCTTTTCCATACATTGAAAAAATTGTTTTTGTTTATTGAAATAAATAAAATAGCAACTTACTGAAATAAAATAAGTTGACGTACTAAAATTGCTAGAACTACAACTGAAATAAAAATAAAGCTAGATAGTAATAAAAAAGTCAACAAAAACAAAAATGACAAGCATGTAACAACATTTATAAAATATTAAAATGAAAATGGACAAAATCAAAGCTAAATATTAATAAATACTAAAAGAGTATAATATAAATGCTAAAATAACAGCTGTCAGGCTCCAAAAATGGCACAAAAAAACACTATAAGATTAGTCTATGCACTATATGAAAGCTTTTTGTGAAGAATAGGCCAAAATGAACATTTTCCACATTGTTGTCCACTAAAAATCAGGTGATCATGTGAGTGTTTTTATGCCAGTCAAGCTTTATTATTACTAAAAAAAAAAAAGTATAGTTGCCAGTTCTTCTGATTTAAATGCGTCATCAAGCTGACATTTTCTAGCCTTGTAGGGATTTTGTTGTAAATTGCATGACTTGTGAGCAGGAACTAACAATTTAACAGATCATTAGTTAATGTAACTGGTAAATTGTTCCTTCAGTTGCATAGCAAAAAATAGGGCAGAGAGCCAATCAGAAGTCCATTATAGTACTGTTATACAGAAAAAATACTCTGCATAGCTCAAAGATGTGGCACGCTGCTAAGATGAATAGAGGCAATGCAATTCAAGGTCCAGGTTCGGAATGAGTCAGAGACTGACATCTTTATGCTGCACTGTGATTAAAGTCATTTTATGGTGTTACCTTCAAAGCATTTGTCACCACTGACCTCCCCCACCTCAGAGAGATGCCAAACTTTCCCAGAAAAGATGGAGTTTTTGTCACACGTAGGAGACTAGGTTTTTTTTTGTAAAGATAGTGATGAAAGGGTAATGGAAAGAAAGTTTCTCAACCTCATCCTCCATCTGCAGTCACATCCACTTTTAGCATGTTGTGTACCGGTCCTCATACGTCTGGCACTGATCACACGGCTCTTTCAGAGACTTGCTTCCAGTTTGTAGTGGAGATAATTATTGCTTTTGTTTACTTCCATTGTCTGTGTCCAGAACGTCTATTTTAGGCTCATGAATGAATCAGTTATCTTCCATAGTCTTTGTTGAAGTGTTATCTTCCATAGTCTTTGATGAAATATACTTGATATTATTTTTTAGATATTTACTCTGCTGTTCAAAAGTTTGGGGTCAGAAAGATTTTTGTTTTTGAAAGAAATTGTTTTATTTAGAAACGACGCATTACAGTACATTGATCAAAGCTGACAAAGACATTTATGATGTTACCAAAGATATCTTATTTCAAATGGTTTTCTTTTTAACTTTCTATTCATCAAAGAATTCAGAAAAAAAAAATTTCCACAAAAATATTAAGCAGCACAACTGTTTTCAACATTATTAAGAAATGCTGAGAACCAAATTAGCATATAAGAATGATTTCTGAAGGGTCATGTGACACTAAAGACTGCAGTTTAGTTTAGTTTAGTTTAGTTTATTATTTTTTTAACAAACCAAGCACAATTGCAACTGAGTTACACAAACAGTTCAGGGTTTCCGTCACTGTGGAAAACCTGGAAATACTAGGAAATTTTACAGTTGTGATTTCCAGGCAAAAACTTTTAATACATTTTTTTTTTTTTTCTAATTATACTCGGATAAAATATTTAAAGAGATAGTTCACCCAAAAATGAAAATTATTTTATTAATTACCCTTGCTGACTATGGAGGGTCAAAAAGCTCTCGGATTTCATCAAAAATATCTTAATTTGTGTTCCAAAGACGAACGAAGGTCTTACAGGTTTGTAACGACACGATTAGTGTGACAGAATTGTCATTTTTGGCTGAACTATCCCTTTAATGGGCTTAAAATGGCTTTTTGTGTGTGCAATATCTGTAAAATATTTTTAAAAATCATCCAATTATCCCAAAGAACTGGCAAAGTTAAAGAAAAACATTTGACTGGGAACCCTTGTTTTTCAGTACAAGCTGAAGTAAACAATGAACATTGGCACATCTACTTCCCTCAGTCGGTAAAACACTACTTGCTTTCACATGCTATTTGAACTGTATTTGTAACCCCACTCTTTTCTCTCCTCTTTCCTCACCTTCTCTCAGTACTCCAAACAGGTAGACGACAGGTTCGGAGCATACGTAGCCTGCGCCTCCCTCGTCTTTTTATTCATCTGCTTCATTCAGATCGTCATTGTGCCACAGTAAGTACACTTCAGTTAAATGCCTGATCCTAGCAAATGTTTTCTGGTCCATTCAAACAGGCCAAAGGCTTAGAGAAGGTTTTGTTTGGTTTTAAATGGGAATGTCACATAGCCTTCATACACAGAAGCTTTCATTCATTTCGACTTTGTAAAGGTGAAGACAGTTAGTACCAGAGCAGCCAAAACAGCCAAAGCAGGTCTTTCCTCTCCCTTAGACCCTATGTTAATTATGACATATAATAATTGTTTAAAATGACACACAGTTATTTTCTATTCACCTGGTTTCCTCTCTACACCTGTTTGTTTCTCTGCAGCTCTGGGTTGATGGTTGGCTTCTATATGTTGTGCCTCGTCCTCCTGATGGCTGTCATGTTCATCTCAGCCATTTACTCCTGTTTTGGGGTGAGTGAAATGCTGGTATTGTACGAAATTTAGCCTATATAATATTTATGCAATATTATGAAATTCTGAATAATAGTAATTATTTTTATAGAATAAAGAGGACAAACCTTGAGCAACATGGCATCTACAACAATGCAAGAAAACACACCCCCCCCCCAAAGCCCTAGAAAACAATACATCTTAACACGTCCTTCACAGACCATTTCCTAACACTCTTACAGACACATCATCGCTAAATCCAAGTGTTTATCAACCTTCAAATTCTCCACTAAAATAACCTGAGCGGGTTTGATTGATATTGGGCTTTTAGCTGCGTAAATTTGAGCAGGTCTCCAGAGACAATGAGTCACACAGAGCAAAGCCAGAGACACAATAAAGCGCTGGCAGCTCATTTGTGCACACTGAGGTGGAACTGTCACTGCATTGCTCCATGGGCAGCAAGGGGCGTCGCAGGTCTTTCCTTAGAGATGCTGTGGAATTAGATTCTAAACTTCCTGACCCGTAAAAAAGTCTTTCATAAAAACCTGTTCTACATAACATAGCATAAGAGAGTTCATCTTATATATATATATATATATATATACAGTGGGTATGGAAAGTATTCCAGTAAAATATTATTACAATGTAAAATAACTGTTTTCTATTTGAATATATTTTCAAAGTGTAATTTATTCCTGTGGTGGCAAACCTGAATATACTTTTTTCAGGATTTTTGAGTAGAGAGTTCAAAAGAAAAACATTTTTAATTTTACTTTTATACTTTTTTTTTTTTTAAATCAAGAAAAAATATATTTTTATCATGTGACAGCATTAAATCGTTTTCAGATACTGTTGAGTTATGTTTAGTAATATTGTGAAACTCAATTCATGTTTCTCTCTATTGACAGTTTTTCCCTGTGCCTCTGCAAACTCTGTCAAAAAGGATTGTTCAGTCCAGACTCAACAGCACCCTGGTGGGGGTTTTTACAATCGTCCTGGTCTTTCTCTCCGCTTTCATTAACATCGTGAGTCTCACAAGTCTTAACCTCAGGATTCTGTGCCTTAATGTCTCTGATATTTAGTTATTTCATGCACTAGTGATACATTTAGTGATACATAAACTATGTAGCGATGTAGCCATGCAACTAACACTTAATCTGTCTCACAATATTTAACGACTTACAGGAGTAAAGACAGAATTGCAAAAATAGAAATCTTTAGTTTTGCAATCATGTTGCTGGTGACACAGAAATCATATGTTTTTGAGTAATTGACTTTTGACATTGAAGTGCTTCACAGATGTGTAGTGATTAATTAAATGAAATACTGTCACTTATCTTCATCTGAGAAACATTTTCATCTGTCCTTTAGTTCACCTGCAGTACGGATGACCTGAAGACATGTTTAGGGCAGGAGTTTAACATCAGCCCCAGTGATGTGAATGCTTGCCATGTCGGCAGCTCTTCCTTCAACTACACTCTCTGGTCTCAGGACAGCCTCTGCAACAGCTTGTCACCCGCCTGCAATTTCCCAGAGGTGTGGCACTGTTCTCAGACCAGTTCAGTTTTGTAGTTTTGTGAGAATTTGCTGAAAATTTACTTGCCCTCAGGCCATCCAAGGTGTAGATGAGTTTGTTACTTCATCGGCAGATTTGGAGAAATTTAGCTTTACATCACTTGCTTACCAAAGGATCCTTTGCAGTGAATGGGTGCCGTCAGAATGAGAGTCCAAACAGCTGATCAAAACGTCACAATAATACACAAGTAATCCACATGACTCCAGTAACATGTTCGTAATAAATCAGTGTTTAAGATTGTTTTTACCTTTGATCCATTGCGTCCAGCTGAAATACAAGTCCCATATCCATAACAGTGCTTTCTCCAGTGAGAAAGTCATCTGAATCAGGAGAGAAATATCCACAGATCAAGCACTGTTTACAAGTGAAAACAGTCCAAAACAGTTCTAAACAAATATGTTTTGGATTTTGATGTGAGAGGACAATAGGGGATGGAGTTTTTCACTGGAGGAAGAGTTATTATGAATTAAGTTGAAATGTCTTAATGATGGATTTGTTTATTACAAATACGCAGCTTTTCACTTCGCAAGTTTTGATGAATAAACCAACTCATTATATTGGATGGCCTGAGGGTGAATACATTTTCAGCAAATATTAATTTTTGGGTGAACTATTCCTTAAAGTAGTCAGTGAGCAGCTACTAACTCGTTTGGGCCAGCTTGAACCAGCTAATAGCACCATGTTCCAAGTCGATATTTTTCAGCAGTGATAGGCCTTTCCATATATTTTTTCATAGCTGTAATTTTAGGCACTGCTCTGAAATGCTTGTCTTTTGATAAATCATATATGGAATAAGATAAGGGGAGAGCGAAAGACTAATGTCTGAATGTTTTTCCTCTTTCTGCAGTATTTCTCGTCATGTGTGCTGCTCAGTTTACTGGCCTGCTCAGTGTTCCTACAGATCAGCAGTATTGGTAAACTCTTCCTCATGCTCTTCATTGAGATCCTGTACGTGCTTATCATGGAGGTGCCTGAGGTCAGCCTTTTTGACAACGTGGACCTACTAGTCATGGCCAATGCCATGTGAGTATCTAGATTTTAGCCAAGTAGCACAGTGTCTTGGAATCAGCATCGTCCTCCTCCTCATCCTTCCTATCATATATTATATGGCCAATATACACTTTTTTTTGAACATTAAGGTTGTGTCTTGTAATATGTTTTTTTCTACCTTTTTTATTATGGATGGTTGGAACATGTCCCTACCAAATTTAAGGGACTGCTAAATATTCCCAGCATTTTTTCTAGATCACAGTTGTGACAATGTAATAAACACTACCATTCAAAAGTTTGGGGTCGGTAAGATTTTTTTGATGTTTTTGAAAGAAGTCACCAAGGCTGCATTTGTTTGATCTAAAGTTTAAAATAAGTATTTTCGATTTTAATATATTTTAAAATGTAATTTATTCCTTTGATGGCAAAGCTCAATTTTTAAACTTAATTACACTTAGTCGTCAGTGTCACATGATCCTTTAGAAATCATTCTAATATGCTGATTTTGTGCTCAAGAAACATTTCTTATTTTTAATGTTGAAAGCATTTGTTCTGCTTAATATTTTTGTGAAAACCCTGACCAAAAGCATTTATTTGAATGTAATGTATCCTCGCTGAATAAAAGTTTGAATTTCTTTAACAAAAAATCTTAATGACCCCAGACTTTTGAACAGTAGTATAAGTAGGCACATTATCAGTTTTCTACATACTGTTATTCAGTCAACTTTAGCTTACCACTATATATAACCATGCTAATGAATCCTGTTGAGTGTTTACTTGCTGATTTATCCTATCAGTTCTACTGAGTCAATCTTAAAGATAAAGTCAGCTGTGCTCTATCCCTCTGATACATTTGCTTTTTCTTTGTCTTCACAGAGAGTATATTAATGGAACAAGGTAAGATAAAATCAATGAAATCGAGACACTGATCTCAAAGAAATGCCAGTGAGCATGTTGTATTCATTGCATGACCATGAAGATTGCTGTCACCACAGGAATAAATAAAATGTGTGACCATGTAGCCTGATGTAGTGTTGTGATGTGATATTAATCATGTTAACAGATTAACATGTACTTGATTTGATTTGAACACTTTAGATCATCATGCTGTTTGCCTTATGGTGTGAAAATTGTTGATACTCTGTATGTTGCAGCTGTGCGATAGACACCCGGGTTCCTCTAAAGATCATGACTCCAGTTGTCATCACAGTTTTTGTGCTGGCTCTCTACCTTCATGCACAGCAGGTGGAGTCTACAGCCAGACTAGACTTCCTCTGGAAGTTACAGGTGTGTTTATCTGTGTATGTCTTTGTAATAATGTAGATATTTTGTGAAAAGCTGTTAAATATGTATTGCTGTCCATCAAATCAGTTTGTCAGATACATTTCCCCACTCTTGCTTTTAAAAACTTTTTGTTGTAGCTTACACAACTGTTCAAAAGTTTGTGGTCAGTAAGATTAAATTTTTTTGGGGAAAAAAAAAAAAAACTTTTATTCAGCACTTTATTTAGTTATTAAATGTGACAATAAAGACGTATAAATGGTTACAAAGCAGCATAGCTATACCAAGCAACACTAAATCAGCATATTAGAATGATTTACAAAGGATCATGTGATAATGATTAATGGAGTAATGACTGCTATTCAGCTGTGAACTCGGATATCTATATTCAAATAGATATATTAGTAATTTTAAATTGTAATAGCATTACACAGTATTACTATTTTAACTGCTTTTTGATCAAATAAATGTAGCCCTAGTGAGCAAAAGAGACTTCATTAAAAGCATTTAAAAACAATCTCACCAACCCCAAACCTTTCAACGGTAGTATATGTGACCCTGGACCACAAAACCAGTCGCACGGATATGTTTGTAGCAATAGCAAAAAATACATTGTATGGGTCAAAATTATCGAGTTTTCTTTTATGCCAAAAATCATTCGGATATTAAGTAAAGATCATGTTCCATGAAGATATTTTGTAAATTTCCTACCGTAAATATATCAAAACTTAATTTTTGATTAGTAATATGCATTGCTAAGAACTTCATTTGGACAACTTTAAAGGTGATTTTCTCAATATTTAGATTTTTTTGCACCCTCAGATTCCAGATATTCAAATAGTTGTATCTAGGCCAAATATTGTCCTATCCTAACAAACCACACATCAATGGAAAGCTTTAAATTTTTGGTCATACCGCCCAGCACTAGTCCAGGGTCACATATAATGGTGAACTTATGTAATATTGCATATTGATCCAGTTTGGCTTTCAGTGTTGCAGCAGAGTCATCCTCTATTTTGTTGTATTCACAGGCCACAGAGGAGAAGGAGGAGATGGAAGAACTTCAGGCCTACAACCGTCGGCTTCTCCACAACATCTTGCCCAAAGATGTGGCCGCACACTTTCTGGCGCGCGAGCGGCGGAATGACGAGCTGTATTATCAGTCGTGTGAATGTGTGGCTGTCATGTTTGCCTCTATCAGCAATTTCTCTGAGTTCTACGTGGAACTGGAGGCCAATAATGAAGGTGTGGAGTGCTTGAGACTACTCAACGAGATCATCGCTGACTTTGATGAGGTACAGCGATTTCTGACAAACCTTAGAACTGTTGCGATGCTTTTAAGCTACTTTTAAGTGCGGTACAGTACAATTGGCTAACTTTCTAGCATTTCATTTTTTAAACCTCGGTTATAAAAGCTGCAGTTGGTGTTGAAAATACTATCAATCAAGTAAATAATATTAAAACAAAAAATTATAAAAACAATCCATTTAATGTAGTCTATATATAAATGTCTTATTCATAAAATATGCATGTATGTGTGTTTATTAATGTGTTTTTATTTATTAGTATCTATTAATATATAAATGGAAAACAGCCCCTTTTTTAAAACTAGATTTATACTATATTTTAGTTCTTGCATTAAAGATTTTTAACAGTTGGTCTCTATTTAAACCTGTGTGTGAAACCTACATCTTCACATCTTTCTAAACTGATTATATTCTTACAAATGTAGAAGTTTATTACATTTTCATTTCTAGATGAAAGTCATAACCTTATTTCACTTTTCTTGCAGATCATTAGTGAGGATCAGTTTCGTCAACTAGAAAAGATCAAAACCATTGGCAGCACCTACATGGCCGCATCTGGGCTTAATGACTCCACTTATGATAAAACAGGAAGGTCACACATTCGCGCTCTAGCCGACTACGCTATGCGCCTCATGGACCAGATGAAGTACATCAATGAACACTCGTTCAATAACTTCAAAATGAAGATCGGTAAGGATTTGGCTTAGCCACCAATCAGCTGCCTTATCTATATCATTTTCATTTGGTTCATTTTATGAAATAGTTCCTTTACCCTTGCAAAAAGGCTTTCTGTAGAAAGTTAACAGAATGACCCAATAGAATGACCCATATATTTTACTGTTGTAAAATGAAAAGCCTGTTGTCATGAGAGCTCATAAATTACCTTGTACTGTAGGTCTCAATATAGGTCCCGTCGTGGCTGGTGTCATAGGGGCTCGTAAACCGCAATATGACATATGGGGGAATACTGTGAATGTAGCCAGCCGTATGGACAGCACTGGGGTACCTGAGAGAATACAGGTGAGATGCATTCTACGTCTCTATGATTGTCCAGATATCCTGTATGTACTGTAGAGTCTAAAAGATTGAGTCCACATTGAAAATTAACCCTGGAAATAAATACAGTTTTAAGATGTTTAAAAAGTTTAAACAAAGAAACAGAATGTGAGATAATTAACAAATGTTTAATATTGAGTGCTGCTATTTTGTGGTTTATTTAACTTTTCACTTAAATAGTTGTTAATGATAATAAGCCCTACATCTTGGGAAAAAAAGTGTGCTTATTTGCAAAAAATGCTTAATATTACCCAGTTTGATGATATTGAGTTCAAAAATATGATAATTAAATAATAAAATAAATAAAATATTTAAAAAAAACTTTCCATCAGTTTTTTCTCAAATTAAAAATGAGGATTTTTCAAATCATATGTTTTCTCTTTAATGCACTTGTCAGAATAACAAAAGTCAAAGATTTTGTTTTTTAATTTTGTTAAATGTGCTATTAAATTTATAATCTGCAAAGGAGTGGAAAAATGGAAATCAGCCACTTTTCACATTTATGAATGATGTTTATAACATTATTTTTTAATAATGTCTTGGGAATAATTTATAAATGTGGAAATAGACTAAGAGCTGAACGAACAGTTGTAATCTGGCTCAGAGGAAGATTGAAATCATGTCTTTTGGCAGTTTTTCTGGTGATTAAAGGATAATACAAGACTTCTTCAGCTTGCAAATGGTTGTCAGAAGCAAATGAAATCAGCACTATTTTTTAAATCAGCACCTCAAAATTGTATTTTGAATAAAGTATTGGAAAATGATGCAGAGCGGTATAATGTCATTTGAAATAAATACAGAATTTTAATTTAAAAATGTAGCTAATTTGTAAAGAATTTTTCGTTTTCATTTAAAAAAAAATTTTTTTTTAAATGTAAAACAAAAGCATTTTCGCTAGTGGTCTCAGGTTTAGATCAGTAAAAATGTCAATTCTTCCTTACAAACTCTTTGGTCCTTTATAAGTACTCGTGTGCTCTTAATTTCTCTCTTTTTTTAGGTCACAACTGACCTCTACCAGGTTCTCAGCTCCTATAACTACACACTGGAGTGCAGAGGCGTTGTGAAAGTCAAGGGCAAAGGAGAAATGACAACCTACTTCCTAAATGGAGGACCCAACAGCAGTTAACACTCAACGTCTAATATTCAGAACATTTTTGAGATGATATGAGGACATGACGCTGTGGGCCGGGCCTGCCAGGCTGTTGAAGGGCATCCTCTTGGACCAATCACAATAGGATTTGTTCGGAAACAGCCCTCAGCCAGTCTAAGAGTGGCCTCTTTGCACACTGAGACTTCCTATAGGATTAACAGAGGGCTTTGGCCCCTTTATTTAAGGCATGGAACAGCTCAGAAAGACGGTTCATCCTCAGAGACCAAAGAAACAAAGGAATCTCAAGGCATACAAAGCAGTTCTCCCAGTCTTATATTTCTTATATTGCCAAGAGAGGACAGATGAACTGCATTCTCTGCACCTGGCTTTGGCGCTCTCAGGTGTGGCTGGACTGCGATCATACACCACCGAGTGGTCCTGGTGGCTCCATAACAACTGCATGAACACTGAAGCCAGTATACCTGTAAAACACATGTTTTATGTGTATATGATTCATCAGTGTATGTAAAGAGTTCTGTTCATATGGTCTTGTCACGTTCAACACTGTCTAGGTGATATCACAGTATAGAGATATCACAATGAGCTAATATATGGTAGAAGGCCATAGTGAGCACAGTAGCTCTGCAAACCCTTTATGGTTTCCTGAACTTTGCTGCAGCGACTGTGGTTGTACTGGTAAGGGAGCGAGCATTGACAGTGTTATCTCTGAATGATCTAGAGTTGAGAATTAAGCCCCGTTCATGCCGCCGCCGACTTGAAACGACCCAACGTCATTCATTTTCAGTGTTGGGATTTGCTCAGGTCCAATCTGATGGAGCATGTCAATCTGTCTTCAGTCAGAAACTTTAGTCAAGAATCATTTCGACTAAATTCTGTCCTTACAGTCAGCAATTTATGTCTTTAATCATGTGCAGGGTCAGTATTTAAAAAACGATGCATATGACAATTAAATGTACGTGGACCCAAATAGGCCAGCGTTTATGCTTTCGGCACAGATAAATTGACCGCCCACATTGACAAAGAGCACGCACTGATTCTTGTTCATCTTTAATATGATGCTTAATGCACTGTTACAACTTAAATACAAAAATACATTTTTCTTCCAGAATGTTCATTTTAGCAGTGTAAACTAGTTTGTTGTCAATAAGAAATGAGACTAAACAAGTAACCAACCAGTATGGTGGATGGTGTGACATGCAAGTCGCTAGTGGCATGAACAGGACATGTGACACAAATTTACATTCTCAAAACTACAGACACTTGTATACACTGAAGACACTTTTAAGGACAGAGGAAAACAGTCAAATATGGCTGTTTTTGTATTTTTAACATTTTATATTTTGACTCCAAAAGCCAAACTGTCAATGCTATTTTAGATTATATATTTTATACATTAATGTATTAGAATGCTGTCTATAAATACACACACACACATAATATATACACATACACACACACACATAATAGAACACTACAATCCTGCACATTTGAACAGGAGGGAGAGGTTTTTAAGTGTAAATTATCAGTCACCCTTTTCTGTCGCTGCATCCGTTTGGCTAAAATCAGTAGCTAGCCTTGTAACCAAGTAAGCAGAATATGTTTGGCCTTTCTCCAAAAAGGATTTCTGTATCCTGTCAAGTACACTACAATGTAATTATGAGTAGAAAATGGATTTGCAGGAGGCGAAATGAGTGTTTCAGAACAGCCACAGTCGTTTAAAGCTTGGCAAACACATCTGCAAATATTGATTTTAGCCTTGCGTTTACAGTGCGTGGGACAACGAGTTGGGATCCTGTTGGAATGATTCCGTTATGCCACAAATCTTCACCATTTTTGCACTGCAGCTCGACCAGCAGTTTCTTCTCTCTCTCAGTTCAGTCTGATGGTACAACCCAATGAATGTCCATTTTATCCAATGAGGCCTTTGTATGTAAGAATTGGAGTGTGTACACAAACTGTGTACAAGCAACTTTTTTCCCCGCTTTACCTATTTCAGATACAGTCAAGTAGGATTATGATATACATTAATGTGTTGGAAAATAAATCTGCATTTTCTGAAACGTGTTATGAAACAGTAAATTATATTTGGTCCTGTTCTAGCTTCTCAAAACTTGGACCCAGCTGGGCTTCCCGAGTCATTAGGTCTTTATTTTCCTCAAGAAAATTACTGCCGTTTTCTTGCCAGCGATTTTTAAAATAAAACCTCTGGTTGAATGTTTTTGTATTTAGCGTCATCATGGCACGTGTATGGTCTTTTAATGCTAGACAATGCAGTTGCCATATGAATTCCTAAGTTAAACTACGTTTACATGGACATCAGTAATCTAATTATTTACCTTATTCTGAATAAGACAATATTACGATTAAGGTGTTTACATGAGTTGCTTTTAGAATATTCCTTTCATGTTCCCGTTTTACATGTTATAGTACATAGTTCGATTAATGGCGCACGTCATTACGTCACCACGCGACGCCATCCGACGTCCCCTACAGAATTTCACAAATAAACATATAGTTCGTCTTCATTATGATGCCATATACAGTTTTGGGTGTTTCATTTTTAATTTACTGAAAGCTTCAAGTGCAGTTTAATTATTTGTCATGCTATACGTGCTAACAGACGATGGCGTTGTTGAAGCCATTCTTTTGTTTGCCGTCAAACAGTTGACCACTGCCGTGTGTGTATCCTGTCGCAAAATGCGGTGAAAAGTCCTACACGACGGTAATGTGTACATGTCTTTACTGCACTTAAATAATGCGACTAATCGATTTAAGACGTGGAGTATTCCTATTTTAGTGTTTACTTTAGCCGGATTAAGGTAATCAAAAATCTCTGTTTACATGGTAGATTCTTAATCAGAGTATTGTCTTAATCGTATTAAAATCGGAGTATTGTTGTCCATGTAAACGTACTGACTCAGTGAGTTGTGTATTTTCTGCGGCACCAAATGGGATTGGACACTCCCTTTACGCCATTGGTCAGACGATAATCTAGCCCCGCCCCAAATTCACGCCATTGGTTGAGCCGGTGTTGCGGCTGGTCAGGATTCTCAAACATTAAAGTTTTGACGGCGCCACTGAGACAGTTTTACTTTCATCGCGGGATTTAGTTTATGAATGGCTTACAAGTAGGTATCTCTGCATATTTAACTGGGAGGAGAAAGTATCTAAACATTAAAATTACACACTTCAGTTTTAATTCACTTCCTTGTGTTTGTTATCCAAACGAAAGCACTGAGGTAAGAGATGTCAAGTAAATACCACATTATGTCCTGCTGAATTCTGGCATTTACTATTCCAGTGGAGCTTCATCTTGGGTTGTCTTTGCTTATCTTGCCATGTCAACACTCAATGCTGTTTTATACATCCAAATAAACTATTATAATAGTAAACTCACTCTGAAATCATGTAGTTATGATTATTACAGCACTGTTTAGAGAATGCACTTTTTGTTCTCTTATCCACAGTATTTGGCATTTCATTTGGTTATGTAGATGCTTTTGGTAATATACCATAAGAAGTTCTCTCAAAAATTGCAATGCTGTCATTTAGTCGCCCTCATGTCATTCTCAGTCTGTATTAAATGCTTATTTTCTCTGTGGAAATTCAATTGTTAGGTCCATACAATTAAAATGGACGAGGACTGAGGCTGTCTAGCTCAAAAAGGACAAACAGCACCATAAATTAGTCAGGCTTGTGTGTAAATTTAAGGTGACATTAAAAGACAGAATTGTCATTCTAACCATTTTAAGAACCTTAACTATTCAAAATGTAAACTACAGTGACGTCGTTATTATAATATTTGCATATCGAATTGTAATTGGTCGTCTTTCGTACAAGTATTTGCATACTGAATTGTGATTGGCCTTTTCCGTATTTATATTTCAGATGATTGTGGACATCTGGACATCAAGACGATTACGCCAAAGGTAAAGTGCTGCCTTTCAATTACAGGTATTCCTTCAGGAAATGCAAATCTATTTTATGGCATTTTGACTTTGCTGTGTTTTGGTTTTGACATAAAAAATGGAATATTGCATTAAATATCCAGAAGGTGGCAGCAGTGCGCTTTCATTTTGCGCCTTCGTTAATCCTTGCCTCCAATGTTTCCATGTTTCTGTACAAAAAACTTTTACTGCTCTCGTTGTACGGACAGGTTAATTATTGTATACCAGTTTAAACATTTGTGTCTTCAAATTTTTGTTTGATTATTTAAACTGAGCTGTTTTCAGGCCTGTCATAAACAAACTGTGTCCAGAAATAGAGCTAAGAACAGAAACCCCACAGAGCAGCTGTTTGGTCACTCAGGCATGTTAAAATTCACATAATTTCAGTACACTTCCCCCACTGGTAAACCTGACCTTTTTTTATCTTAAAAATGTGCCCATGAAATACCCTCGTTTGATTGCACTTGAATTTAGTCTCTGCATGCGTCCGATCCGGTCAGTTTGACTGAACAAAGCGGTTTTATAAAGCATTAAAAAAGGCCATTGTGCTGGGCGTGAGAATGGCATTTCATTGACATTAAAGATAGTCTAATAGCCAAGTGGTTTGGGTTTGATCCAGCAGTCAAAAGGTTAGAAAAACCTGAGGCGAAGCACAATGTCATAAAAATCAAAGAAAGAAACACTCAAATCATTTCTCACCCTGATAATGCAGTTCTGGAAGCCTTGAACCATAAAGGAGGAAAATTACATGGTGATTTTTTTTTACTTTTGTCCATTTTTCCCCAAAACTTTTTGTTGCCGTATTTTTTCCTCCAAGATCTTCAATTTATTTGATTTTTCTCTATTTTTTTCTTTTCAAATGTATCAACCCTAACTATACCTCAAAGAACACTTTAAAAAATCGAGAAAAATCTGAAAAATACAGCAAAAAAAAACTAAAAACCCAAAAACAAACAACTAATTGACACAAATGTACTTTTAACCTGTGTTTTCCCCCCTCATTTACCCCCCTACTTTGTGGTTCAAGGCTTCCATTCACTGTAGTGTGCTATGCAACTATAAAATGAGATCAGCAGTGAACATAAGCTGGAAAAAATAACATAAATTTCACAGACGTCAGAAATGTACAGACTTTTCCCCCTCACTAAGTACAAATAAGCCTAAATGGGCTGTAATTTTCGCATACACAAAAGCATTCACTGGATCACCTGGAACATTACTTTCGTTAGTCATGCTTCTATAAGCCAAATTACTTCTTCTAATAACCACAATCATCATCATCATCACTGCAGCTCTAAGGATTTGAGAATAGCAACAAGTTTATAAATTGGGTGAGCCTCTTAACACATTTGACTTCAGTGACTAAGAAGCACATATTCAAACAGTAATACTGTGCATGACAAAGAAACTGTAGTGACAGCTACACTTTAAAACATTGGTGTAGAAAGAAATTTCACTTTGAAAATGCAATGAAGTTTCACAATTAATTACAAAGAAACAAGTAACACATTGAATTAAACATGAACTTTTGAAGTAGTAAGACTAAAGAAGTATTTTCTCGTAAAACATACTCCAATAATATTTTATTTGTGTGTATCCCTACTTCGGTTGCTAATATTTTATAAATGTGTGAAGTGCAAAAAAAAAAGCACACAATCATACAAATCAAGGTTTTTAACTGATGATTTCAAGACAGGGCCTTTCGTCTGAGTACAAACAAACTGGCAAGGCAATGCACTACTGCTGGAGATAGAGCATTGAGGTACATTGCAATACAAAGACGCAGATGCAATCTTTGATCACTGACACTTGGGGAAAAAAGAAATGCACGTACATCATCTGAGGAATTTTAAAACCCCTTGACCCTTAATCTGTCAATCATCCATTCAACCTGTCATTTGCACAATGAAAACAAAACAGGTGAACAGAAACAAAATAAACCATAACTCATTTATACCACTCAACATGGTCACTGAACAGACCCGTTGACAAAAGGCAGCAAACACCGAGGGGGGAAAAACAGAGTCTGTCCATTAGTGTGATTCCATTTCTCTCTTAGCCAACCACATTAATTTGCAGGAAGCACACCTGCAGGCAGCATAGACACGATTGATAAATAACACATCTGATTATGCTTTCAGGGCAGAGACATCTGACTAATGACCACAAACACAGTGACACTCAAATTAGGCATCTATGAAAGCATATAACAAAATAAAATCACCAAAGTCTGCTTTTGCAGAAATTAGAGAAAATCCAGCAATGTCACATTTTTTATAGGCAGCTATAAAAAGTCTCGCATATGAGTTGGCTTTAACAATCAAAATAGAGAAATCATCATACAATGCGTCAAAAAAAATCTAAAATTACATCTTAAAGGAAAAGTTCACCCAAGAATGAAAAGTTTTAATCATTCTTTATTCAGTGGAACATGAAACGAAATGTTTAGATGAATAAGCTGTGATTTACCACAATAAAATGTGAATTATTACAACTGTCAAGCAAGAGTTTGTTAATGAACTACTAAACTAGTGAATAATAACTTTCTTACACACAGTTAAAATGCAACAGTGCCTGCTCAATTTTTCCAAAAGTATTTTTCAATTAATTTAATTCATTTTTGCCATATGGATAAAAAAAAAATATCGTCATTTAAGAGTTATACGCTATGAACCAAACTAATCAGTTATACAGTGAATTTAATCATTAAAAACTTCAGACAAAAAGACAAATGTACATGAAGCATTGCAAATTACAAAGAAAAGGGTTGATTTGGTATTGAAACAATGTTTTGCTAAAAAAAAATATGCATCTGTATGTAAATATTGCATTTTTTAAAAAATATTTTAAGTAGATGTTTTTATCTGAATTTATTTTATTTTTTTTAAATCCTCAACACAGACCCTGTACACCATCCATGTTCACTGGAAAGCCATGTTCAAGCCATTGTTCAAGCAATGATGTAAGAATTTTCATTTCTGGGTGAGCTGTCCCTTTAAGCCCCGATGTCAATTAAACAAAAAATAACTACAACTTAACTGTGCACATCTGCTAATGCTTCCTTCAATATTTCATGCATGAATCTAATACTGTGCACTTATGAAGTCTCTGTTATGAACCTTTTGCATCAACAAGAACACCAGTTTCTCATCTGTGACCTCAACTGGATGTGAAACAGCAGGAAGTGTTTCTTGAACAATATCAAAATATTTTGTAAAACCTGCTTCACAATCCATAGTTCTTTTGTCCTTAGATGGGGTGGGAACAGGTTGGGGTTGCCATGTTGGGCTACGTTACGTAGTCTTAAAAGTGTTCCGGGGGTCAAACGTTGTAGTCAGGTGATTTGCCCTGCGGTTGTCTCAGGTGGATCTGCAGAGTGATGAACGCTCCCACCGTCACGTGAAAAAGGATCTGCCACATGTTACGGAGTTCATACAGATACATGTTACATAGGCAGATCATAGCAAAGGCCAGGAATGACTTGATGTTCCTCCAAACTGAGAAGTAGGCGAACAAGTAACACTATATATAGAAACAGAAACAAAAGGAAAACATTTTGAAGCTGGAAGAAGAAAGTTCAGTACAAGCTTTGTTTTAAGATTAGATCTAAAAGAATGTAGTAAGGTTTATGCCCTACTATTCAAAGGTTTGGGGTTGGTATCATTTTTTTTAAAGACATCTCTTATGCTCACAAAAGGCTGCATTTATTGTTTATTTATTGAAAAATACATTATAAACAGTAATATTGTGAAATATTATTACAATTTAAAGTAAGTGTTTTTTATTTTAAAATGTAATTTATTCCTGTGATGCAAAGAGTTTTTTTTCAGCAGCTATTACTCTAGTCTTCAGCATCACATGATCCTTAAGAAATCATTCTAATATGATATCTGGTTAAAGAACATTTCTTATTATCATTAATGTTGAAAACAGTGATACATTTTTACACATGCATCCTTACTGAATAAAAAGTATTTGTTTCTTTCAAAAAAAGGGAAAAAAAAGAAATCTTACTAGCCCCACACTTTTAAACAGTAGTGTCTATTCTGAAAACAAGTCTTAATATATTAACATCAATTTTGCTTCTCAAGTAAATGTTATAAGGATGTTGAAATATTTACACTGGGAAAGAAGACAAAAATACTGATCATGAAAATTATTTTTTGTGTGCAGAATGAGGGTTTTGAAGACCCACCACTAATAAAAATTATCTACATTACTAGCTGCTTTTGTATGATGCTAGTAAAAACTAATTGTTTCTCTAGATTCTGCTTTTACGCGACTGTGAGAAAAAGTGTGATATACAGTGGTGTGAAAAAGTGTTGGTCCCCTTCCTGATTTCTTATTTTTTTGCATGTTTGTCACACTTTAATGTTTCAGATCATCAAACAAATTTAAATATTAGTCAAAGATAACACAAGTAAACACAACATGCAGTTTTTAAATGAAGGTTTTTATTATTAAGGGAAAACAAAATCCAAAACTACATGGCCCTGTGTGAAAAAGTGTATGCCCCCTAAACCTAATAACTGGTTCGGCCACCCTTAGCAGCAACAACTGCAATCAAGCATTTGCGATAACTTGCAATGAGTCTGTTACAGCGCTGTGGAGGAATTTTGGTCCACTCATCTATGCAGAATTGTTGTAAATCAGCCACATTGGAGGGTTTTCGAGCATGAACCGCCTTTTTAAGGTCATGCCACAGCATCTCAATAGGATTCAGGTCAGGACTTTGACTAGGCCACTCCAAAGTCTTCATTTTGTTTTTCTTCAGCCATTCAGAGGTGGACTTGCTGGTGTGTTTTGAATCATTGTCCTGCTGCAGAACCCAAGTTCGCTTCAGCTTGAGGTCACGAACAGATGGCCGGACATTCTCCTTCAGGATTTTTTGGTAAACAGCAGAATTCATGGTTCCATTTATCACAGCAAGTCTTCCAGGTCCTGAAGCAGCAAAACAGCCCCAGACCATCACACTACCACCACCATATTTTACTGTTGGTATGATGTTCTTTTTCTGAAATGCAGTGTTACTTTTACGCCAGACGTAATGGGACACACACCTTCCAAAAAGTTCAACTTTTGTCTCGTCAGTCCACAGAGTATTTTCCCAAAAGTCTTGGGGATCATCAAGATGTTTTCTGGCAAAACTGAGACGAGCCTTTATGTTCTTTTTGCTCAGCAGCGGTTTTCGTCTTGGAACTCTGCCATGCAGACCATTTTTGCCCAGTCTCTTTCTTATGGTGGAGTCATGAACACTGACCTTAACTGAGGCAAGTGAGGCCTGCAGTTCTTTGGATGTTGTTGTGGGGTCTTTTGTGACCTCTTGGATGAGTCGTCGCTGTGCTCTTGGGGTAATTTTGGTCGGCCGGCCACTCCTGGGAAGGTTCTCCACTGTTCCATGTTTTTGCCATTTGTGAATAATGGCTCTCACTGTGGTTCGCTGGAGTCCCAAAGCTTTAGAAATGGCTTTATAACCTTTTCCAGACTGATAGATCTCAATTACTTTCTTTCTCATTTGTTTCTGAATTTCTTTGGATCTCGGCATGATGTCTAGCTTTTGAGGATCTTTTGGTCTACTTCACTTTGTCAGGCAGGTCCTATTTAAGAGATTTCTTGATTGCGAACAGGTGTGGCAGTAATCAGGCCTGGGTGTGGCTAGAGAAATTGAACTCAGGTGTGATAAACCACAGTTTTAACAGGGGGGCAAACACTTCTTCACACAGGGCCATGTAGTTTTGGATTTTGTTTTCCCTTAATAATAAAAACCTTCATTTAAAAACTGCATGTTGTGTTCACTTGTGTTATCTTTTACTAATATTTAAATTTGTTTGATGATCTGAAACATTAAAGTGTGACAAACATGCAAAAAAATAAGAAATCAGGAAGGGGGCCAACACTTTTTCACACCACTTTATTAGCATTGGTTGGTCAGACAGAGACAGAGAGCAGAGGAAGTGAAGCTTGGCAGGTCGACAGTAACTCACGGTCTGACTGTCGTCACTTACCTGATACAAACAGGCCGCGGTTCCGAGGAAAAAAGCAATTACGTAATTGAAGTCTTCATCCTCGTTCTGCAGATGAAGCAGAAAAAGAGGAAAGACAGGGTGCTGTGTTAAAGAGTGAACAAATTACAACAGGAAGCCATGTGCTAAAACAGAGGATGAATTACTAGAGCCAGGACTCGAGTGCTCACTTATCAGTGCAATATACAAAGCCAAGCAAAACTGTTCTGTTTATGGAAGAGGAAAATCACATTACACCTAAGTGCAAAGTCTGACAAATTATTCAAGAGTACGGTTACTATCCATTAGTTATGATTTATTATATTACAATGGTACTTATACATTTAAAAGTAATGTTTAGTACAACGTTTTAATCAATAAAAGAAACAAAGCCCAAAATAAAGTGCCAGCATTACTATTAGTGCATGATTTAAGTTACCTGCAATACACTTTCTATTGCGTGGACTCCCCGCAGCAAATTAAGAGCGCCACATAGGACACTTAGGACGCAGGCGACGATACCCGACAGGGTGACGGCCTCCAACATTTGATTAGGAGCTGCAGGAATAAATCAAGCACAAAATCTGTGTCAAAATAACTAGATTTTAAAATTTGCAGAAAAAAACCTGCGGTGCAAAACTTTCTGGCTGTTCTGAGCACGTATGTGCTCATGGTCTTTCAAAATGTTCTGCTTCTTGAGAACAAAAGGCAAGTATACATGCTGTGTTCACAGTGTGTTCCCTACCTATGCCTTTATATTTAGACTGCTTGTGTTGTGAGAAGCCGTTGATTGATCCAATGTCCTTCGCGGACAGCTGATAAGGAGGCCGGAGCTTGATCTCAGTCTGCATGTCGGCCAGATTAATCTTGGTGGAGAGGGAACGTGGGCTGTTGTAACGTTGCTTGGTTTTCCGAATGAAGTTATCTGTCAAAACCATAGAAACGGCACAGAAGATGAATGCTTCAAGCACATCATGGTCTATATGTTACAAATGGCTTCAGTGCATTTCAAATCACATTAAATGGAAGGTCTTTAGGCTGCGTTTATTTTTTTATTTAGATAAATCCCAAAGATTCCTAGCCAAAATGGAGCCTCATAAGTGACTAAATTTAAATGTTCCACATAAGATGCAACTCCATGGATGTTTACTCAAACTCGCCATGCAAATAATGCTCTTCAGAGATTCAACTAATGCTTAAGGTTGGTCGAAACTGCCCATGTAAAACTAATTTAAGCAGAACTAATTATTACAAATATTTTTCAGTGCTGATTCAAATGACCTGAATTGAAAAGATAATAAAAACAACAAAATAATGGCAAGAAAATGTATTTCTATTGAGTTGTCCTTATTCTTATTGGCAGATTCTTAATCATTCACTGAACTGCAAGTTATTACTACTTTCAGTGATGTCCATCTCTAAATGAATTATGTTCATAAGGCATCATGTAGCTAAAGAGTAATAACGATATTTCGATAAAAATGTAACTTGTATAGAAATATAGTATACACTATTGTTCGAAAGGTTGGGGTCAGCAAGTTTTTTTTTTTTTATTAATACATAAATATAAATATAAAAACAAAAATCGTGATAGTAAAGACATTTATAATGTTACAAAAGATTTGTTTTTAATTAAATGCTGTTCTTATGAACTTTCTATTCATCAAAGTATCCTAAAAAAAAATGTATCACCATTTCTACAAAAATATTAAGCAGCACAACTGTTAGCAAAATTGACAATAATAAGAAATGTATTTTGAGCACCAAATCATCACATTAGAATGACTTCTGAAGGATCATGTGACTTTGAAGTAATGGCTGCTGAAAATTCAGCTTTGCCATTGCAGGAATAAACTGCATTTTAAAACATTTAAAAATATAAAACTGTTATTTTAAACTATAATAATATTTCACAATATAGACTGTTTTTCAAAAACATTAATACATCCTACCGACCCCAAACTTTTGAATGGTGGTGTAAATTTAAAAATAAAAAAAATATGTTGAATTAAATTGTATTAAAAATATATATTTTAAAAAATAGATCAAAATATAGTCTCCTTCTGCACAAAGAGAACCCCGTCCTAACGCCCTCTAGAAACTCACCAAACTCAATGAAAGAGAAAGGCCTCAAAGCGCTGTTGATCCGCTTGGTGTCATATGTGACAATGAACTCTCTCTGAAGCTCGTCCAGGAAGCTGAAGGCCAGGACATTGGGATAGCTTTCTGTACAAACCATCAAGTACCCGACTCCAAGAGAGCTTGTGAAACTATGGAAAACAAGACATGTAATAGTTTACATCATACTTGCAGAGTCAATTTCATTTAAATAAAATTTACAGGACATCTGCCTCAAATAGGGTGGGAAAGGTCTTTCACTGAACATGCAAGTCCATTTCAAAGACTTGAGAATCCACAACACAACAACCATTGTGTTTAAAATCAGCCTTTACACCTGTTCACCTGGATCTGTATGTTCACAGAGTTCTCTTTGAACACTCTTTGTTTTCCCTTTGAGGACAGTTTAGTGACTCTCCTCAGGAAAGAAACTTTGTCAGTGTGTCTCTTCATGTTAACGTCTGTTTGGAGAGATGAAACAATCCATCGAGTCACTCCAGAGCCTGCTTGTGAAGTTAGCAGTGATGAATAGCAACCAGGCTATGAAATGGTCACCCCTGGGTCCCTCAGTGTAATGCATCTGAATTAGACCTTGCTGAAGTGGAACTTTAAATTTTACATCAGAACAGTTGGCAGTCAGAGCAGTCCACCCTACTGTGTCATTTGTTTTTGCTGGGATGTTTTAATTAAAGGAATGGTCACCAAAAAATGAAAAATCTGTCATCATTTAGTCATTCTGAAGTTGTTCCAATTCTGTTTCACAGAACACAAAATGAGATATTCTGAAGAAGGTTACAGCTACCATTAGTGCATATACAGTGACCACAACCTGTCAAGCTCGAAAACAGATGCATTAGTGGATTATTTTTTTTAAATAATTTTTGGAGCTTGACAGCCCACATTCATTACTGTATGCTTTCATTGTATGGAAAAATAAGCATAAAGGCTTGTTCACACCGGGACGAATATCGCGCGCGATTATTGCCGACGTTTAACGCCTCGTGACTAAACAAAGGGCGCCAATGTGAGTGTGCACACCGACGCGCAAAACGCGAGGCGTAAAAGCGTCATTTAAAAAAAAACGGTATGCGCCGCGTTAAAAACTGGCCGACCAATGAGATTGGCGCTTTTGTTCACGTGCCTGGCTCAAGCACAAAACGGTCTTGCCGAGCACATATTGATACCTAACGACAAAGAGGAAGTAAGTAGATCAAGAAGATGCATCGAGGCAAGATGAATGTAGAGCTGCTGGTCTCATTGGTGTCTGAACACAAAGGGCTTTATAACAAACGCGACAGCGACTTCAAAAATCTCGATAAGAGGGAGTTGTTATGGAGAGGAATTGCAGATCAAATAGGATTCGATGTGTTCCGGGGTATTTGTGTTTTTCATTAAGCGCCATCTAATGTCAGGGAGTGATTTTGCACGTTCACTTTGGCTCATCGCCTGCAAAAATCGCTTGGGTATGAACACAAAAAACATCGGCGATAAGCGCGATAATCGTCCCGGTTTGTACGAGGCTTAAGGGTGAGAAAATGATGACAGAATGTACATTTTTCTTTAAGTGCAAATTTATCAAAATGCTTTCACTCCAAATTGAATTGTATTCATGCACAATCGCTTCCCTATTTAACATATAATTAGTTTTGATTGACAGTTATTAGAAATATAACATTTTGTTTGTGTTTGCTACAATCATAGTTTTCTAAGGTGAAAATTATACCGGAAGCTTGTGGAACACTGAGATTTTAGGCAGAAATACATACGCATGTCTGAGAGTTAGCTAATCAATTAAAATAAGTTCATAAGGGGGGTTGCAAAAAACATGGTTCAAAATGTATTAATTGGTTGATTAGATCAGCAATTGTTTCAAATAAAAATGATATTCTACTTTGCAAGGAACATGCATACAGCAGTGCCATTGTCCTATTTAAAAAAAAATCCCTTTAAGTATAAATGCTTTTCCAGTGTAATACACTGCAAACACATTTTGTTTAACACTGTACCAAGTAATATAGTGTAAAAAAAAAAAAAAGGCACTCAGTTTCACACACATCCGCATTACCATTGCACTGATAACTCACTTGATGTTATAAAGGCCAGATCTGAGTGAGCAGCGATCCGAAAACTGGCTGAGTTTTTTGGACAGACCCTTGAGATGTTTCTTAGTCTCCTGAAATCCTTTATCCTGTTCATAGTCTGTGGAGGCTGAGAGTGGTAGACCGTCCCTCACTCTCACCACAGACGCAAACAGCACCATAGACATCTTACAGGCAGCTCAGTGGACACCTGGAACAATGAGAGGAAATCATCATTCATCATTCAGTGCATATATTACTTCATTTCCATCCCACTCTCAGCGTTTTCTGCTGACAAAGTAGAATATAATATACAAAAATATAAACTAAATTAATAGGAAATAAGCACGATAGATAACATCAATTATTTTCATGCAGACTCATGAAATCTGCAGCACACTGTGCTAGGCTAATAATAACATTAGCATGTTCGCTGATAGCTTGTCAACAGATCACATCTGCTGATTGCTCTATGCACTACAAAGGCACATATCTAATTATACAGCCTTATAAGACTTTAACTGAAAGCAAATAGATACAAAATACACATAGCAATTATAAGAAGTGATTTGGAGATGTCACTGCTGCCACAGCAAGACTGTTAGCAACATGATATTAAACGACTCTTATTGTATGCATTGTCACTGTTAGCTGTACATACCTACTGACATGAGACGTTTTAAAATATATTAAGACATTATAATCCCTATTGAGATATTTTGCTTATATAATACTATCGTGATGGCTGAGCTCTTCCTGCAGGTCTCATAGCAGATGCTTCTGCACACGTTCGATACAGCTTCGGACAGTTTCGTCGTAGTTCGGCTTTGTTCGGCACAAATTCGGAGAGCAAATTCGGCTGTCTGTGTGACGTGACTGGAGGAAAGGCATTATGGGTCGCTTTAAAGTGAACATCAGCAAACCAGTCAGACTAAACCATTTATTTGTCTTGGGAAATTGGATGTGAAACTAAGATCTTATAAAATATTACTTCTTGAAATACACAGCCTGCATTATCTTAATTACTAAATGTGCTTATTTAAGATGTGATCTATAGCCTATGTGTGCAGGTTTGTCACATTTCTGTAGATTGTCCCCTGATTTTTTCTCTACTTCAACCAAACTACATTTGTTTTATCAGAACATATAGGCTACATGTTAAGAACGTAGCATGTGTGTGTCCTGTATATTGGAAAGAGCAAACACGGGCTTTGTTCGGCATTGCTGGGAACGCCCACAAAAACGTCATAACCGTTTATGCCGTGGTGGAAAACAAACCATTCAAATTAACGCGCGGAGACCTTGTTAGGCGCTTGATATTTACTTTTTGTGATGATTTCGATTGATTTTTGCTTGGTGCAATGCCGAAAAGTAGCTGTGTGGCGTTCTGTACCTCTAATAAGTAAAAAAAAAAACTGATCTGAAGATGTAGGCTATATGACTAATAAACAGACGGACTACCGGAGGTAGCACTGAGCGGATAGCACAGATAGGCTACACTATGATCTGTCATTCGTCCCGCCCCCTGCACCGCAACCCATTTCTGATGGGGCTTACAGTAACCCTTCCTTCACATCACAATCAAATACATCTCACTCCCTGATATTTTGTGATGTCATAATCCATTAAAACATTTATTTAAAAAATATAGAAATATTAATTTATTATTAAAAATAATAATAAATGTATTATTATTACATATAGTAATGTTATTACTATTAGGGATGGGCGTATCGATATATCGATACTGACGCGAGTATAGAAAGTATCGATACTCAAACAAAAATATCGATACTAAGGTGCGTTTTATTTACCAGTGGTTTTGTTTATTTAACAAAAATAATAATAATAATGCGTCCAATATGCATTGAATTGGACGAATAACCTTTGTTAGCGAGTAATTGTGTAGGATAGAACTAGTTTCCTGCTCATCTGAATACACGCAAATGTTGCAAGACAGAACCAATCAATCACAGAGAGCATTCACTCACTGCTGACAGTGCATTCAAACAGGGCTGCGTTTCCCAAAAGTATCATAAGAAAGCATTAAAGCTTTTGGGAACGGCAGCCCTGAACAATGCTTATCAGAGGACAGAAAAAAACATAAATGTTTGAGTTATTTCACAATAAACAAACTGAAATTGTAGCCTACATAGTTTGTGCAATTACAATTATTTAAATTGAACGTTGAAAGATAATATTGATCATGTAAAAGCCGGTATTTACAGCTGCATCGTCCAAACATCGGCCGGAGAGCATTTGCGATCAGAGGCCGACGTCGCGGCGACATCTTCCCTATTAGCAAACGATCCCTGAGCGACATCATGCCTATGGAATTTTGTACGTCAGGTCGACATCGGCCCAACGTATGTGTGCTGTCTGGGTAGAATAAGATCAAACAGTTTAAAATAGCTGGGCTAAGATATATAACAATTTTTAAGACTGCAGAAATGTGTTAATTCAGTATACACATTATCCCACCGGTTACAATTGTGACTGACCATAAAATACAATTTTTTCACACATTTTTCAAAAAAAAAAAATCATAAAAAATAAATAAATAAATAAATAAAAAATTATTGATTATTTCAAAGGGTTACTAATGACACATCATTTGGATATTTTCATGTCTGGGAAAAATTTGGGATTAAACAGGTTAAAATGCGTTTTAAACATAAAGTTAAGTGGTTTTCATTACCCATTTTACTCTTAGTAATTTAATAATTTAATAAATTTCATAATTTAAAAGTTTAGTGCAGAAGTATCGAATCGGTATCGATATCGACGATACTGCCTTGAAAAATATCGGTATCGTATCGAAAAAAAAATAAGGGGTATCGCCCATCCCTAATTACTATACACTCTAAAAAATGCTGGGTTGTTTCAACCCAACTTTTGGGTTAAAAATGTAATGTAAAAATTTAACCCAACAGTTGGGTTAGTCCATATTTGACCCAAAGTTGGGTTGAAACAACCCAGCATTTTTTAGAGTGTAGTAAAAGTATAGGAGGCTAACCATGGTTTTTTTTTTTTTTGGCGTTT